CACGCCTCGGGCGCCGCGGCCTTCTCCGAGCGTGCCGGCACGCTCTGGCACGGATCTGCCCTCGCTCTGGCCCCGCCCGAGAGCTGCAGGGCGGCCGCGGAGCGGAGGGGAAAACACGGGCGGCCTCCCCGTGGCACCATCAGCACGAGGGCCCTGGAGCACCCAGCCCCTTCCCCGCGGACCCGTTTCGCCTCCGGGCCCGGCTCTTTTTTTTTGGAGCAGGGACCGACCGTCCCGGCATCCCTATAGGCCTACCGCGACACGCTCCTAGAACCCAAACGTGTCTTTCGAGCAAGGGCAAGGCTCTTAGAATATAGACCCGGTGTATTAAAACAAGGTAGCCTCAGCCAGAACTGTTCTGGAAACATGTCGTGCACACCACAGCAGGTTCTGAGAACATTCTTTGGTGGGCCTCTTTAGGCGAGCCAGGATGCTCCGCCACTGCTCGAGCCTCGGTGGCTGCCCCGGGTGCCCGCAGCGGGCCCCCCCGCAGGCCCGAAGAGACGCGTGGAGGAAGACCGCCGGCACTCAAAGCGAGAGCGACGGCGCACGCCGCGCTCCACGAGGAGGGGAGCCGAAAGAGGGGGGAGAGGCTCAGGGGGGGGGGGGGGGCGGCAACGTCGGCCTGGAATCGATGATACGTCGCCGAGAGGTCGGAGAAGCTCGGGGTCGAGCAGGGACCGCCCGTTCCAGCATTCCTATCAGCCTACCACGAAATCGCTGCATACCCAAAAAATCGACTGACAAGAACAATGTTTTCAGAACATACGCCGGATACGTTAAACCATGGCAGTCTCAGCCAGATCACATGATCTGAAGAACATGCCGCGCAAACCACAAAAGGTTCTCAGAACAGACCGTGGTGGGCCCAGAGGCGAGCCAGGGCGCTTCGCCTCTGCTGGGACGCACAGGGGCGTACAAATACTATGTGTCCTCCTTGGAGGCGCGCGTCCGATCCGAACATGTGGTATACCCATCTTGCGGTACATCGTTCCCCGAGCGGCGTGGCCAGAAAGCGCCCGCCACGACGCATATGCTATAGATTCTCGGCGCGCGCGCGCCGCCCCTGGGGGGGCGACACACATATAGTATATAAGTATGCTGGCGTGACGCCGATCTGCTTGACGGAGGGGGGGGGGGGGGGGGCAACGTCGGCCTGGAATCCACGCTGCGTCGCCGACAGGTCGGCAAGGGACCCCCGACAGGGCGAAGCCGCACGCTCGTGGACAGGCCGGGGGCGCCCAGGCCCCGATCGGCGGTGGCCTCCTCCTCCCTCCTCCTCCTCCCCCTCCTCCCCCTCCCCCTCCTCCTCCTCCTCCTTCTGCCCCTCCTCCTCCTCCTCCTCCTCCTCCTCCTCCTCCTCCTCCTCCTCCTCCTCCTCCTGCTCCTCCTCCTCCTCCTCCTCCTCCTCCTCTGGGCGACGTGGGGCCGCTCCTCCAGCCCCGAGCAAGCCCCCGCTGCCTCGGGTGAGGTACAGTCGGCCCGTATAGGAACGATACGCGATGAGGGTGCAGGCGCCTGGGACGCCCATCTCGAAGCCTTTTTCGAGCGGGGCGCGGTCCACGGAAATGGCCAAGGGTGGGCCGCGGAGGCAAGGATGCCAAAGTAGCCTTGGGAGGGTTGCCCCTCCTCATTATGCGGGGTGGCTGTAGGTTCGCGCGGCGTCGTCGCGCGCCCTGGTGCTTCTGCGTCCCTCGGTAATTCGGTGTTTGCACATCTCTCAGGGTGAGTTCTGACCAGTATTTCGGGGGCCTCCCAGGAGGCCCCAACACGCGAACATGAGGGATGGGTAGCGGTATCGGTACCTTTCCTTTTCCTCCTCTTGTAGACGGCCACACCAAACCCCCAAATCCATGACTTGTGTCATAACGTCGACCCCCGAGGTCTCGACCCATTCCGCAAGACCGGCTTGTCATCCTAAGTCGTTTTCTGACCGCCCCAGGGCCGGGCCAGGGACCCCAGAGCCCCGAAAATTATGTTTAAAAAAAACCTCCCGTCGTGATGTTGGCCACGACCTCGGCAACCCTGACAGAAGGCAGTTTCGCCACGACAGTGCCCCACGCGAGAGCAAGACGGGTCGGTCGCGTTTTCCCGCACCGCGGAATGGCCGGCTCCCTTTGCTGCCGAAGGTTATGTTTCTCCCATCGTACTCAAGGACCACATCCCATAAATAATCCCGCCAGCCCTCTGGGCGTAGGTGGTTTAAGGAGTTCCCTCTTCCCCTTCTGGGAGGGGTTTACCCCTCCCCCTACCCCCTCCCCTGGACCTGGACGGGGGGGTTCGCGACGCGTTGGAGCGTCCAAAACGGCCTCGGCGAGGAAGCCAAAATCATTGGTTATACTAGGGTGTTTGCCCCATTTTGGCCTCCTGAGGGGGGGAGGCCCCAACAGTCGCCCCAGAGGCCTCCAAGAGGCCCCCACGAGACCCCCAAGAGGCCCCAAGAAGCTCTCCGAGGCACCCAAGACGCTCTAAGAGGCGTCCGGGACCGCCAAGAAGCCCCCAAGACGCTCCAAGAGGCCTCCACTGGGGACCCTTCCTCTGTGTGCTGCCCGCTTCCCTGATCGAGGCACTTCCTCTGGGCGTCGATTCTGGATGGGCTGGTGGGGTTACGCGAAGCGTCTAGAACTTCGAGCACCCAAACAAGTATCGAAACAGAGACGAACGAGTATCGCCCCCCAGGGCCCGCTAATCGATGCTAAATCGGAGCTACTCGACGCTTAAACGGACCTGGGACAGAAGAACATCCTTCAAGAACATGAGACCCTCCGCCGGCCCAAACACCCCAAACCATAAGATCACTCTCGGTGGTTCAAAGATGAGGCCCTGAGAGATGGGGGTCCTAAGGAGGAGGCGTCTCAAGCAACGTAAATTCAACCTTCGGTCCATTCCTATCCCTAGGACCCCATCCCTCAGGACACCTTCCTGGAACCAACGACAATCGAGGGTGCCTTGCAACAGGAAGCACTAGAGCATCAGACAAGCACGAAAAACATCAGGGTACACTCTGCAACCCGAGCTCGTTCTGATATCACGGTCCGACCGCACAGCTCGCGAATCGACACGCTGATGCACACCAACGAAGTGAGCGTGTTCTTCTTTGGCGTTTCGACCTTGGGCGGAAGAGGGGGGGAAGGGGGGGGGGGCTCCGGACCTCTGGTTAGTGCGGCTGTTTGCAACCGTGCGTCCTATGGGTTAGGGACTCCACCTGCTCGAAAGAGGGCCAAAAACAGCTCAGGCGTACTCCATGGGGGGGGTGCGAGGGCCCGCGCCGATCGGCAAAACCATGAATAAAAAAACGATCACGAACAGAACTACGAGGGTACACAGAGAAGGCTCCCATGAGTTGCTGCCGCTGCAGCGGTCTCTCTGGCGGCCTCCGGCGGCCAAAACTCCAGGGGGAAGAGCCCGCACACCCACTCTGGCGGCACCGCCAGCGCCCCCCCACCGGGCTCCGTGCGCCGGGGATGAAAAAGCGCCGAGCGATTAGCAATAAAAGGTAACCATTCGGGATCGGACCTAAGTTAGAAGACCAGGGATCAGGTTTATTTCTGCAGTTGTAGCAGACTGAACTGCCCAGATCGATGATCTCTGATGCAAAGACGGGGACCCAAGTGAAACCACGTCGTCACTTTGTTAATTAGGGTTGGGGTTCTTTTTACCGACTGCCCCGGAAAAAAATGCTCCTCCCTTCCCCCCTACATTTTTTATCCCGGTTCAATAAGATTTAAGTGTGGAGAGGGCGCGGAGTCCAAAATTGATAATCCACGAGAAAGTTGCGAATCGAAGTCGCTATCATCTCATGTTGACTAGCAAAAAACATCAAAAACGCTGAGCATGGCCATGGTGGTCTCACCCAATCAGCTTCCGCAATCACGAGCTTCCGCATATCAGCAAGCCCTGCAAGGACCCCACGGCGGTCGAGCCGAAGCACGCCACCTTCGAGGTGGCAAGCGCTGCCGCCCAAACGTGCACCAAGTGCCTCCCGTGCAAGGACGGCTCCAAAGGGTGCCGAGCCTGCTTGGGCGGGTGGCTTGAAAGCGTGCGCAAGAAAGGTTTCTTGGCCAGAATGGCCAAGGACCTCTCTTGCGCAGGCAAGTTGTAGCCACGAGCCTCGAGATCTTTCGAGTGAGTCTTGTGCCAAGATCTACAAGGTCAGTCCACACAAGCGCCCAGGATCACCATCATCGTCATCGTCATCATCATTATCATCATAACTTATAACTAACATCAACTTCCCCGGGAAAATCGTTGATTATACCCGCCAGGCACCCGAACTCTAGTATCCCTGAGTGATTATTATTCGGGGTAGTCGGTTATCCTCGATGATCGGGAATGGGGTCCAACACCGACCCGACGAACCCGTGCGGACCCGCGAAAACCTGCACTGATTGGCTATTCGAACTCGTGCCTCCGATGGATCGGGACTCGAGGTTCGATAGGCTTCTGAACACTCCTGGGCCCTTCCTGCCCCCCCGGAGACCGCTTGAGGTCGTCTGAGAGACCCAGAACATCAGAGACAGGGTGTCTTCCCCGCAGATGCATCAAACCAAACCACCCAAAATTAGATTCCCTGATGCAAGCACGGGGACCTAAGTAAGGCCGCGCCTTCATCGTGAGAGCAGGGTTCGGGTTTCTTTTCTCCTCGATCATGGGGCGAGTGCACCGAAAGTTCGGCGGCGAGCGAGGGGGGGGAAGTGAGAAGGAGAAGGCCTTCTCGGAAGGCGGCGGGTTTTCTGAGAAGCCCTCGCGCCTTCTGACAAGCTTCCTGTGTCTTCGAGGAAGGCTCAGAAAACCTCCCAGCAGGCCGGGGGACTTCCGAGCGATCGCCTCTCGGACCGTGGATGTGACAGCGCCTGCCGCTCAATCTCGCTCCGCGCCTCCTCTCGGCGGCGCGCCAAAGGGGGGGGGTAGCGAGGGGGGGCGGGCCTTCTCGGAGGGCTCGGAAGTCCCCCGGCCTCCCGAGAGGTTTCCTGAGCCCCCCGCGAAGACACCGAGAACCTCTCGGAGGGCGCGGGGGGGTTCTGAGAAGTCCCGCCGCCTTCTGCGAAGGCCTTCTCCTTCTCACTTCACCCTCTCCCTCGCCCCCGACTGCTGCCAGGCTCGCTGCGTGCATCCTCGGGCTGGCCTCACAGGAAATCGGCTACGCCTGCGGGGGGTGGGGAAGGCGGCCCTGGAGACACCGCCGGAGGAGCGCGAGCAGGCATCGAGGCGCTGGCGGCGGTCGCCTCTGCCGAGACGCTGCTGAGCAGCCGGCCGTCTGGCAAGATTGCGTCGACCCGCCAGACTCCGGGCCCCAGCCTTCCCGCGCGCTGGTCGGCCAGCAGCTGGTCGTAGACCTCCGCGAGGCTGGCGGTGCGACCCACCTGGACCGTGCGCCGCTCCGCCCCGCCGAAGGTGAGGAAATGCACCGAATCGCCGTCATACGAGGCCTGCAGGAGCAGCGTTGGCAACAAGTGGACCACATAGGACAGGTCCGCGACCAGCGCCGGGATGGCGCACTGGCCACTGCTGTTCCGGCCGCACGCGACGGCCGCACCGTCGCTCCGGAGCAGGACCGTGTGGCACATTCCAGCGGAGACCTGCGTGTAGGTCAGGCCTGCGACCAGCGCGGGAATGTTGCACTGGCCCTCGTCATTGTCGCCGCAGGCCACGGCCGTGCCGTCGCTCCTGAGCAGAACTGTGTGGAACCCTCCACCAGCGACTTGCGTGTACGTCAGATGCGCGACCAGCGCTGGAATGTCGCACTGACCATTATCGTTCCGGCCGCAAGCGACGGCCGTGCCATCGCTTCTGAGCAAGACTGTGTGATCATCTCCAACGGCAACCTGATTGTAGGTCAGGTCTGCGATCAGCGCTGGGATGGCGCACTGGCCCGAAGCATTAAAACCACAGGCCACGACCGTGCCATCGTTTCTGAGCAGGACGGTGTGGAACATGCCTAGAAAAAGAAAAAACACATACACATGGCTCCGCGCAGATTTCTGGGATCCGCTCTGGACCCCCCTCCCTAACGCGCAAAGCGCACCAGAAACGGCGGCAAAAACACCGCCGGGGGCCCAGGTGCGGATCCAAGAACTCCGCGCGGAGCGCCAACAGTTCATGTTTGTTTGGTTTGTTTTCGGCGGTGGACAAACCTCCCTTTAGTAAACCACCCTTTAGTGAAAACGGCATGGGACAGAAACCGACGGACCTGGACCCGCGAAAATGAAGACCGCGACGCCTTCTCGCGAACCGAAAACGGCCAATTCGCTAATCGACGTGTCAGGGTAGGAAGTCTATCACCCCCCGATTCTCTTCTTCGGATACCAGCAGCAACTTGCATATATCTGAGGTTCGCCTCGAGCGCCGGGATGCTGCAGCGACCGTCGACGTTCCGGCCGCAGGCCACGGCCCCGCCGTCGCTCCGGAGCAGGACTGTGTGGCGCCCTCCCGTGGCCGCCTGCACATAGGTCAGGCCGCCGGCCAGCGCCGGGAGGGCGCACTGGCCATGCTCGGCTACACGCAGGAGTGACCCTGGGCAGGAATGGCCTCGGGTGCGCGGCTCTTCGGGGGCCGCGGGGGGGGCCAAACACACGCGCGCGCAAGACGCTGCTATCGCACCGCGTTCGGCGATCGGGGGACCCCAATGGGCCCGCACAGAAGGTCACTCCGGCGAGAGGTCACTCTTGCGTGTCGCAGACATTCTCGGACAGGCCGCAGGCCATGGCCGAACCGTCGCTCCTGAGCAGCACGGTGTGGCGCCCCCCGGCCGAGACTTGCGTATGCTTCGGGGAGGCGTAGAGGCTCTGGCACGGGGGGCTCGGGTCGGCCCGGCGGGGGACATCGGGAACATGACGCGGTCCAATCAGAAATTTGACGCGGGCTCTTCCGCTGCAGGCATCCCACGAAAAACCGGACCGTCCAAATCCTGGACGCGCTCGTCCAAAACTCTGGCTAACCCGAGTTTCGGCTTACTCGAGTCTTGCGTTTCCCCGAATATTGGCCACGCGCAGAGGGGGGTAGGGGGAGGGGGAAAGGCTTGATGGAAGCACCCCTGCGTCCTAGAAGGCGCGGGCCTTGTCTATAGATAGATGTAGGGCCAGCGCCTTCTAAGAAGCCTCCTTCTGAGAAGCCTTCCCCCCTCCCCCTACCCACCTGTCCGCGCGGCCACATATAGGTCACGCCCGCCACCGGCGCCGGGAGGTTGCACTGACCATTGCTGTTCTTGCCAGGGAGGAAAAGCAGGCATGAGCATGAGCATAAACTTTCGGAGCTTCGCGAGGATGTCCTGCACCTGCGCTGGGTCCCCCCCTCCCTGGGCGCGCGGAGCGCGCCAGGTGCTTCGTCAGGGGGGCCCAGCGCAGATACGAGAGACCTGCGCGGGGCTTCGAGAAAGCGTATGTCGTTGCCGCCCATTTCTTCCCCGCCTTGCCGCAGGTCGTGGCCGCACCGTCGCTCCTGTCGGCGGCGCGGCGCGCCAGTAGAAGCATGAAACACCGACACCAACACCACCAGGGACCACCAGCGGGAGGAGCCAGGAAGGGGTCCCCCTGGTGGTGTGGTCACCCCTCAGGCTCGAGACATCCCCTGGCCGCCGCTGGGGGAGGCATCGCGGAGGTCCTCCTCCTCCTCCTCCTCCTCCTCCTCCTCCTCCTCCTCCTCCTCCTCCTCTTCCTCCTCATCCTCCTCCTCCTCCTCCTCCTCCGCCTCCTCCTCCTCCTCCTCCTCGCTGGAGGTGGCCCCCTGGTGGTGCTGGTGTCGCGTATCCTCTCCCCAAGCCAAGGGGGGAATGGAGAGGGCACAGGCCGGTCTCAGAAGGCGGCGGGCCTCAGCGGAGGCCCTCTGGCCTTGTGAGAAACCGTCACCGTCAGCGGAGCAGGCGCAGGAAGCTTCTCAGAAGGCCTGGGGGCCTTTCCGAGCCTTTTTCGGGGATGGACAGAACCCCCTTTAGTAAAACGTGGTTTAATATAAACGACCTCGGGCGCAAACCTGGCGGGCGCAAGCGTGGAAAATGACGGCCGCGGCGACCTCTCGAGAACCGAAAACGAGCAATTCACTAATCGACGTGTCAGGGTGGGGGTTCTGTCCACCCCCGACTTTTGTGAGCAGGCCAAACCCCCTCTGCCTTCTGATGGCTCTGGTCACTGCCGGCGGGCCATAAGGGAAACGCACGTGGGTTTCGGCGCATGAACTACCCCAAAAACGGCGAACGGAAAACGCTGCGAATTCCTCATATAGATGATTGGTTAGCGTCATGCCCCGACTAAATACACGCTACTCGCAGCGCGCACAAAAATACGGAACAAAACTCACCAGACCATCTGGGGCTATTTCGCATCTTTCCGATCAAGATCCGCTCTGCGAAGTTGGCGCCATGAGCCTTCCCCCCTGTCGGGGAGAGGTAAGACTCGGGTTCGGTGGGCTCGGGTTGGCCTGACGGGGCCTTCAGGAAAACGACAAGACCCAGCCTGAAATTTGACGCGAGCTCCCGCTGCAGAACTCCCACGAACACTGGAACGCCAAAATCCAGGACGGGGGCTCGACAAAAAGCGCCAGCAGACCCGAGTCCCAGCGAACTCGAGTCTTATAGTCAACCCACCTAGTAAGGATGCGCGGTGAGGATGCAAGAGGCCCTGGACGCCCATGCCGAGGCTCGAGGATGCAAGAGGCCCTGGACGCCCATGCCGAGGCTCTTCGAGCGGGGCTGGCCATCGAAAGTGGTCGAGGACGGGCCGAGGGTGGCCGAAGAGGCAAGGATGCAGGGGTACCCCTGGGAAGTCCATCCTCCTCCTCATTTAGATCAGTCATGCTCGAATGTTCCTGGTAGAGTACGGCCCACACAGATGCCCCCTCGAGTGGCTGCGCCAAGTTTGACGACAGTTTCTCGATTGGCTGCGCCGAGTTCGGCGACATTGTCTACTCCGATTGCCACGCGAAGGCTGGCTGGCGACTCCGTCTACTCCGATTGCCACGAGCAGTCTGGCGACCCTGTCGACTCCGATTGCAACGAGGTGGACGGCGACTTTGTCCACTCCGATTGCCACGCGAAGGCTGGCGAACTTGTCTACTCCGACTACCACGAGGCGATCGGCGACTCCGTCTACTCCGATGGCCACGAGCAGCATGGCGACATTGTCTACTCCGATTGCCACGAGAAGATCGGCGACCCTGCCATCAGCATCATCGTCATTGTCCGCACCTCCAGCTACTACGACACGCTCTGAGGAGGAGGGCGTCTTCGAAGCACCGTGTGCCGCTGCTGCCCTGCATCCCCTCCGTCCTCCTCCTCCTCCTCCTCCTCCTCCTACTCCTCCTCCTCCTCCTCGGCGTCCACAGTATAGGTTCAAAGGCTCTGCACATTTGCTCTATAGGCTGTGTACATAGGCTCTGTACATTTGCTGGTTTCGTCGGCCTCCGAGAGGCTGTCGGCTTTCCTGGATCTGGTCTACTTCGGGTCCGAGCTCTGAAATTATGGTAGATCGAGTTTCACTTTGGGCTCCCGCTGTGGGGCCATCCTCTTCGACGTCCTTCGACGCGCACGGTAGGTCGCAATTGTCTGAGTAGTTCTCTGATCATTGATTGAAGTCGAATATGATCGACCTTCGGCCCGACACCGTTTCGCCGCCGCCGCCGCCTCCCCCCCCCCCCTCCTCCCACTCATTCCTCTCCTCCTCCTCCTCCTCCTCCTCCTCCTCCTCCTCCTCCTCCTCCTCCTCCGCCTCCTCCTGCTCCTCCGCCTCCTCCTCCGCCTCCTCCTCCGCCTTACTCTCGGGCTCGACTGTGTGCGTCCCTGGCCCTGGGCGCACCGCCGCTCCTGAGCAGCACCGTGTGGCTGTCCCCCGCGGCGCCGAACATCTGCGCGATGGCAGCCGCCGCTGGGCGGCGGCGAGGGGCGGGGGGCGCGGGGCGCCCGCTCGAGCCGAGGGCGGTCGGCGCTGTCGGCCTCGGCAATTATGATGGGAGCGGGTAACCGCGACAAGTCTTCAGAACACGTTTCTCTCGGCGGCCTGATTGAAGGTCT